CGCGCGACAAAGAACCGGTAGGTGGAATGGCCTGACCGAGCGAATGTCGCCAACGCCATGCTGGAAAGCTCCGCTTCAGCCTCCATCCCACGCAGCTCTCCTCTGTCCCCCCACCTTGTCCCCCGGCTCATTTTCGAAGCGCATGCGAGATGGCTTCTCGAACAATGCTGTCAAATCACGCCGTGAAGAAGCCAGCGGGCAGCGCACTTGTTCGGATTGCCGGCCCCGCAGGAGTTCAGCCGTGGCGTTCTGTTGCGTGCCCGCAGATGCCCACGGGTGTTGTGTCCATGGTCTGGAATCCCATTGATAGCTGGGTCGCGGAAGCGAAGGACAAGGCAGGGGTTGGAATTATTTTTCTTACTCTTCCCTCTCGGGGCTCCAACCAAAGCCCACCCGGACAGAAGTGCGCGGTGTCCCCACGACGATGCAGGGATCAGTAACTTTCGGCTCTTGTGAGAAGGGGGGTGGGTAGGTGTGCGCGTGCGCACGCAAACGCCCTTCCCGCTGTGCCAAGAGTCTGGGCGATTGCTTGACTTTTGAGCCTCCTGTTCGAAAAAGGGAAAACGTCAGACGAGGGGAGACACACTTGCGATGCACGTCAGGTCCTGCTTTGGGCAGATAAACTACTGGCCTTCCCAAGAGGCATTTCAGAGTACAGTGACGTATACAGAGAATGATTGTCACGAATTGCTAGCTTCAGGAGGTCGAGAATTAAGAACGCACAGCCTCCCCCAGAAGAAGCTTATCGGTAAGCTTGTTGTCCTCTGGGGAAAGAGGGAGAAAAACCTGGAGGCGTTCGCTTGAGGTGGCCTACGGGGCATTTGTGATCCGTGGGCTGGGATGCCGGTCTATCCGTGTCAGCGTATTGGCGACGTGACGATCCCCTGCAGGACCGCGGAAGACGGCACAGTCGACGAGTCATCGGGCTTTTTCGGTCAGCGGTTGTGTCGAACGGGAGGATCCAAGCGGGGGAGGCTCCTGTTATTTTTCGATCATTTGGGGAAAACAGAGATGCGGAGAAGAAGGACGGAGGGAGGGAGGGGGGTGAAGCGAGAGAGAAAAATAGAGAGTCACGACTCTGAACAAGGGGCCGTTCTGTCTTATCGAAATGGGGGGTCGGACAGTTGGTGGGGGGCTCCTTCAGGAGTTGCTGCGATGTTTTACGAGGTTGCGTTGTGTTCGAACCAGCGGTGATGGCGACTTTGGGAGGTCTGGCCTTTTTTTAGGGTTCGTTTGTTTGGCAAAGTGTCGATCTTGGTCTGTTCGCAGTGCTATCTGTCCCTTGGTGTTTCTTCAACCACTTCTTCAAACCTCGACGTGAACGTCTTGCTTCTTCCTCTCTGGTCTGTCACATTTCAGATCAGCAAGGATGGTTTGAAGAGGAAATGGAATACGCCACACGACGTCAACCCTGCATAGTCCGTGTCTCGCATGGCATCACCACCATCAGCGCTACCACCACCACCTAGATCAACAACAACTCCTAACCCCCCCCCCCCCCCCCCCCACCAGCAGCACCCGATACAACTCATTCCGTCGATGCGACGTGAACACTTTTCCCTCACACCATTCCCCACACGGAAACCCCTTGCCTCCATCATTTCCCCCATCACGAATCTCAGTGCCCCCAGCTCCTCCTCACCTCGTGTGGATCGCCCGTTGTCTTACTCCGCAAGGCTACCACCTGACACGGGGTCGCGGATCATCAGTGTTGTTGGCCCGGTTGGCTGCCAATTTTCTCTCTGCTCTGTACCTGGTCCCGCGTGCATGCAAGCACCCAGTCCTGGCTGCAGCGCGGCGTTACACCACGGGCTCACTGACCCGTCGCTCGGTCAAGGCCGGGTACCCCATGGGTCATGGCACGCCGGGGCGTGTAAGACGCGGGGCAGATAAGGTGTCTGATCTTGTTGTATGCGAGGTGGAAATCTCTTCCTGGTCATATTGTCTGAGTGAGTGCCGAAGTATAAAGATGTTCGATGTCGTCTACCAGAAGAATCTCGTTCTGCTTTTGACCTATTAATCAGCCGTCAATTTACCTTCCATCGGCACACCCTTTCAGTCAACACCCTTCTCATCATTGTTCTCGTCTCAGTGGTATTCGGTCACCCACAGACACGGCCAGAAGCTCCTTCAACCATCCGCAAGATGGCCGTCACCCAGGCGGACCCCCTCGCCAAGGGCACTTTTGCCACGGCCAAGCAGTCCCTTCGCGATCTCACAGTCTGGCGCCAACGCGTCGTCGTCACGACCCCCGAGGGCGAAACACACACAGAGTGGCACGACCCCGACCCCATTCAGAACCCTATCTCCCTCCTCGCCCAGCTGTCTGCTCGTGACTGGCTCTTCTTCATCGTTGGCTTCCTCGCGTGGACAGCTGACGCGTTTGATTTCCACGCCCTCTCCATCCAGACCAAGAAACTGGCCGACTACTATGACCGCTCCAAGACGGATATCACCACAGCCATCACTCTGACCCTGCTTCTCCGATCAGTCGGCGCTGCCGCCTTTGGTCTGGCAGGTGATGCTTGGGGCCGCAAGTGGCCCATGGTCGCCAACATGATCATCCTCGGCCTGCTGCAGATTGCCACCATTTACAGCACCACCTTCCAGCAGTTCCTCGCTGTCAGGTCTCTGTTCGGCCTCTTCATGGGAGGTGTCTACGGAAACGCCATTGCCATGGCGCTGGAGCACTGCCCGTACGTTATGATCCTGACTGCCGATCCCTTGCTTGAGGATTTGAAGTAAGATGAGAGTGAGACACTAACACACGGCCCAGAACGAACGCTCGCGGTCTCATGTCCGGCATTCTACAGCAGGGTTACTCCTTTGGCTACGTGCTCGCCGCCTGTGCCAACCTGGGCGTCGGTGGTGAGACAGACACCTGGAAGACGGTCTTCTGGATCGCTGGTAAGCCTATCATTCATATCTCCCTCTCCCATTAAAGCACCTGCTAAGGAAACCCCTGTCCAGCCGGCTTCTCCATCGCCGTCGGTCTCGTCCGCGTCGCCTTCCCCGAGTCTCAACAATTCCTCGAAGCCAAGGCCCGCGGTGCCAAGTCGCACACGTCGGCCGGCGACTTCTGGCGGGCCACGCGGGCCATGATCCGCGCCGAGTGGCGCATGTGCATCTACTGCATCATCCTCATGACGTGGTTCAACTACTACTCGCACACGTCGCAAGACTCGTACACGACCTTCATGCTCACGCAGAAGCAGCTCGACAACGCTGCCGCCTCGCGCGCCTCGATCCTTATGAAGACGGGCGCCTGCGTGGGCGGCACCATCATCGGCTACCTGTCGCAGTTCTTTGGTCGCCGCCGCGCCATCATTGCCTCGGCCCTCATCTCGGCCTGCCTCATCCCCGCCTGGATCCTGCCCCACGGCGAGCGTAGCCTCAGCGCCAGCGGCTTCTTCATGCAGTTCTTCGTCCAGGGCGCCTGGGGCGTCATCCCCATCCATCTCAACGAGCTGTCGCCGCCCGCCTTCCGCTCGTCGTTCCCCGGCATCTGCTACCAGCTCGGCAACGCCATCTCGTCGCCCTCGGCCCAGATTGTCAACGCCATTGCCGAGAACACGCTCATCACCATCCAGGGCAAGAACGGCCCCGCAAAGGTCGAGGCGTTTGGCCCGACCATGGGTATCGCTACCGCCATCATTGCCATGGGCATCGTCTGCACGACCATGCTGGGTCCTGAGAAGAGGGGTCGCTCGTTTGAGAATGCTGTTGCTGGCGTGCAGACGGACGACCACCTCGAGCAGAAGGTCGCTGACATCGAGAAGGACGAGGAGGCTGGCGTTGAGTCGAAGGAGGAGTCGCGGGTTGAGACGGCGCGGTAGATAACTATGGCAGATGCTTACAAGCAGAGGTTCAAGTTGCATTGTACCCAGGGTAGTGCTGTTGATACACCCAGGGTTCGAGCGGTGCGCGTGCAGGTCTTGAAACCGAAAGAATAAATCAAAATCATAAACATTCGTCTTGTGTTATTATAGAGATTGTGATACCGTTCGTTGATCCACTGGGGTAAATTTTGCAATCCACCCCTTGTAAATCCACGGCGTTGTGGTTAGATATTTCTGGCTCGCTTTACGCCTTGTTCAGCGTCAAATTGCTCCAGTATGTGAACTCGACAAGAGCAACCTGCTTCGCCAACGGAGTTACCTGCTTAACGCCCGGAGACAATGACAATCCATTTCGGATGATAACCCTAACCATGCGAAAGCTCCCATCCAGTAACCTGCTTTCCCCTCAGCAGTCTCACCATCAGTAAGGTACGGACGTAGGCGAAGTGAATACTCAATCAAAGTTGAATGCCTTTGTCATTATGCTCATCTTCATTAAATCGATTTATCGTTATTTCTTAAAATAAAGTCTCACTGCCCTCGCACTCCCTTCGCGCTTCGTCCAACCCACTTCTATGTCCCATGCTGGCGTTGGCAGCCCAGCCACGCTCTCAACACTCTCGGTAGGAACAGAGTGTTGACAGCCATCCAAAGTGTAAAGCTCTACAGAAGAGATGAATCGAATGATGAATGCCATAGCCATGTTGACAGCCAAGAATCTTCCGGGACACAGGCTCCCAAAAAGCCCAAATATCCTCATTTTCTTCCTTTGGCTCTCGTCCACGCTACCATCAGCCTTCATGAACCTTGATGGGTCGAAATTCATCGCTGTAGGTCCCCACACATGCGGGTCAACGTGATGGGGCCTCAGCGGTGCCATCAGGTAGCTTCCTTTCTGCAGTCTCCAACCCTCTGCAAGTGTCGTATCCTCTTGAACATAGCGGCCAATGGCCATGCCACCATGATAGCGCAAAACCTCGTGCCAAGTTGCCAACAATCGAGGACACTTGCTGGGTACGTCTGCCAGGTCAATATGGCCCTTCTCGGTTCCAACAAAGGAGTCCACCTCCTCTCGAACCAGAGCCAGCCAATCTGGACAGGCGAGCAAATGGTGTATCATCCACGTCGACGCAGCAGTCACGTTAGGACCGGCACCTGCAATCAGAAGCAGCTGATAGTCGGTCCAGTCCTCCTCTCGGGCGCCGTGCGCAGCACAAGCAGTTCGCAATCGTCCAAGAAAGCTGTCTTCTGGATATGACGTCTGAGATGCAGCATCCTGCAGCGCTTTTCGAACGGACTTTCGCGCACTGACTGCCCTTGAATTGAAAAGAAAGCTGAATGGGCTGTTCAGCTGCCGAATGTTGAGCAGCATGATACGCATGTCTGCCAGGAAGGCCGAATCCGCAAAGGGACCTTCGCTGGCGTGATCGTCCCATAGAGCCTTGCCCAGAGCGCCCACCAAGGTTGAGAAGACCCATTCCTCGACACGCAGGGTACCACTTCCCTCCTCATGCAGAGTATCGATGCTCGTCTCGAAATGAGCATCTAGTCTTTCGATGTATTTCCGGAGGTTCAAGTTCGGGATGAACTCTTCACGGAAGATGCGAGATATGTTGGCGCCAAACCCGTGGCTCAGATCAAACTCTTCCTTAAGCAGAGAACACGAATGCTCGCCGAAGCTAAGGCTGCGACGAAAAATGGTCGCGACGAGATGATTGAGCTGCAGGTGTTTGGTCTTGGGCAGGTGTCGGCGCAGTTCAGGCTGCACCAAGACCAGCTGGATGCCAGCCATGTTGATGGTAAAGACGGGCCATTTGCTCGAGAACCGCCGGCAAAGGTTGCTGAAATAATCGTTTCCTTGGCGCATATAACCAATGATGTGGCCGATGTAGAGTATTTGCGACCTGAGCTTTGGGGGACTGATAGCAGTCGAGGCGTGAGGGAAGCTTTTGAGGCTGCAGCCATCATCTTTTCGAAACGCATGATGCAAGTAAAAGGCCAACTTCACGAACACGAAAATGAGCGCAAAGATAGCAGCTGGTGGCTCTATAATCTGGCTCAGCATCGTGAGAGCGTGATGGTGTTGTCAATTTTGAGTCGACGAGACAAGGACGGGATTTCGCTGAACTCAGATGTGCGGCAGCGATTGTCAGACAGCATCCTAGAATTCATAATGTGATGGAAGGTGCTCGTATTCCGGCAAGCCCGAGCCACTGATTTCGAGGGTCAGCCGATCCATCCGTTGGTGCTGTTCCGGCCCTCTACCCCGGGCTTGCTATCGATACCTGAAGTCGAAGGAAGCAGCATGGTGATAGTTGATCGCCCCAATGCAGCGCCATCACCTCTTGTGGAAAGGTCGGCGGGTCTTGGCCCAATAGTCAGGGGAACCGACGCCAGCTGAAAGCTCCAACGCTCGCCTAAAGATGCGCAGCCCTGGGGCTGCACACGCTACACCGCACATCGGGATAGCTGCTCGGTCTAGGCCCTGCTTAATCGGGAGATCCAGCGGTGCCAGCAGTGGATCACCACGTGTGTGATGTGGACACCCCTGTCAACGACCGTCAGTCTAGGATTAACACGATCCTCCTAGCCTTGACATGTCGGCGGGGGTAAATGCCATGTCTAGATTCTGGGGTATATCTTGCTCCTCCCGTAGCCAGAAGGCTGTTCGACCTCATTAATTCTTGCGACATCACCAGACGACTTGCGACCAACTCACCAATTCATCTATCCATCATGAAGTTCTCCAGCCTCTTTCTGCCTACCATCTTCGTCTCCGCCGTGTACGGCAATGGCTTTGTCGAGAGACGCGCGACCAAGCAATGCAACCCCGGAAATAACTGTCAACGCGGAGTCGGAGGAACAGCCGGCGTGAGGCCTCCTCTAACTAGCCGTCAGGCCGACTGCTCAAGGCTCAATGTCGTGACAGTCAGCCCTTCCACTACGTCAGTGCCGATATTGATGAACAAGTGATCTTAAACTATCATGCCTAACTCCCTTGCAAACAGTACCACTACCCTCACAACGACTGTCACCATCGTCAACATCCCGAATCCGACAAGCTTCAAACGTGCCGTGACTCTTCCCACCGTTGACGTTGCGAAGCGTCAGGATGTCGGCGCCGCCACGATCACGCCCACGGCAGTCCCCACCTACGCGACATACTGCTCCTCCGCCTCGGCCTATTACAGCGCCTGTTCGTGCGCTGGCATCACGGCTGTCACCACCACTTTGCCTACCCCTACCGCGACCGCTTACAATACCGTCTCGGTCTGCGTTGCCATGAATCTGGCTCGCAGGGCGCTGGAGGGATTTGGTTACGAGGTTGAGCCTGATTTCGATGCCATCAAGTACCCCGGATTCAGACTTATCTGACGAGGTATCGAGAGTATTCTCAGCAGGCAACACTGGGATTCTTAGTTAATGAAGTGATGAATACTGCCTCCGATAATATGAAGTCCATGATCCAATTCAAATCTCATCGTCGTTGATATTTCTCCCACAAAAGCTTCCCCACTCCATCATGTACATAACCGACCCATGGAAAGACATTCATGGCGCACAGAACATCCTTAAAAGTGGAGGTTCCAGCAGACTCACTCGACACCGCCAATGCTGGCAGGAGCCAATTCGATACAGCCTCGTCTACCCACAGGTCGAAGCCTCCGGCAAACAAAAGCCACACTCGAATCACAGCGGGGAGTTTGCCGGCCTGTATCTCAAGTTGTCAAGAGAAGCTTTGAACCCATCGGAAAGACTCCTGTACTGCGCTTGACGGCCACGTCCGAATCCCGCGGGGAAGCCAGCGAGGAAAGCCACCAAACCAGAATAGAAGCACGTTGAATTGAGTCAAATTTGCCCAAGGGTTCAACCGACTCGAGAAGGTCAAATAATGAGAGGATGAAAGCCTGGTATCCATCGATTCTTAGCTTGGTCGTTTTCCTGGGAGCGTTGAAAAATGTTCGACGACGCTCAAAACATCGAGAACGAGGGCCCGTTATTCCGCTTCTTGTCCCGTTGTACAGGCTGAGTAGGATACTGTTATGAAAGTAGGCGGTGATTGACTGCGGAAAACCAATGTTGGGCATTTCGTCAAAGAAGAATTTTGTCTTGGCTCACGTATGCAGTGAGAGTTCGATATCACATACAGAGGAGCTAGAATCATTCTAACCAAACAATGAGACAAACACTTCCTCTAAGACACAACCTGACCTGCAAATCTTATGCAGCATCCCTGGAATGCGTTCAAAGCTTCTCAGTCCACCTCGCAGTCCGACCACTGATTGAAGTCCGTCGAGATGGGCTTTGTTGGCATCAAATAACCGCTCATAGTCGCGCGAACCGTAGGCATACAGATCAATACTATTGTGCTATGTTCCAGAGCCTCTTCACCTCGCAACATCTCATTAGCGAGTTCGTAGGCACGTGGAATGTGTGGCAGCGAGAAGATTAGCTCCTCACCACCTATTAGAATTCCGACGTAGGTTTCCGTCAGACCGAGGACCGCATAGAAGTCTGGTCCGAGGAGTCAACATGAACTGTCTTTACCAGAATAGATACCATGAAGTACAAGCCTCTTTGGTGAAAAGAGTATGAAACCAGATGCCGTTGAGGACCTCGTAAGGTTGACAAAAGCTGGCGGCTACATGGCGTCGGACATGATGTGCATGACTTCAGGCATATTTCAGCTTTGAAAGCTCCGGCGAATAAGGGCCTATAAAGCTTACATTGATCGAAGAGAAGCCTTATGTGAGCGGTCCATCTGAGCAAAGAAGAGAAAAAAAAAAGGAAGTGGGAAGGAAAACAAAATGTATGCGGGAAGGCTTTGACCTACCTGTCAGACATGGGAGAGAGATTCTCCTACCTCAAAGCGTCGAAAAGACTACGGTCCACGAGCTCCGTTGCCTGGGATGTTGTGAAGCCCATCTGACTCGTGACAATGACCATGTGCGGCGTCACGCCAAAATTGCGCATCGTCACCACGAGCTTGGACAGCAGCAGGACCGCCAGGAGTACAATTCCATGACGATAGCCCGTACAAGGTTAAAACTGCCGTGTTCGCCGAGTTCGTCCGTTTGTAGCGTGGGTGTCGTGGTTGCGGAATGGCAGGCCTCTGTCGCCCCAGCCTCGTGCTGGTGTGGCTGGATGCCGGCCGCCGGAAGGCACCTGCCCGAAATCATCCTGACATTGGTGCTGTCGGGCAAGTACATCAGGGCAGAGCCAGATTCTTTCCCGGGGTGCGGCAGGAAGGCAGAACGGAAAGGACGGCTGGGAGCAGCTACGGCGAGACTAATGGTGGATGGAATGACTTACCTGTTGCTCCCGCAGCAACAGTGGAATCGCTCCATTTCGGTCCCATTATTACTCTTACTTCTTCCTGCCCAGATTCCTTCTTTTACACTTCATCAACTCGCTCATAGCATTGACTCAGCTGTAGAGAATGGGATGCGAGAGTACATGATCCATGCCGTTCAGGCTTTCTGACGATACCTAGGTAGTTGGTGTACGCCATATGGTCGTTTAATAGTCCTCTGAACGTGCATTTTGGTCACATCATCAATCCATTATTCTTACTCCTTTTCATCTCATTCAATACCTCATCTCATTCAATACTCCAAATGATTTCCTAACAGTCGGGCCAGACTCAGGCCGGACACATCTCAGGTCCAGGTCTTCCACCCCTTAAGGTTTCCAAGTACTGCCAGAACCCGTGTGCCTTCTTCATATGCCTCAGGAAGATAGTCTTGAATGCCTTAGGTGGGGGGGGGGGGGGATAAAAACCTGTTTGCTCTTTTCGAAAAGACGGTAGATGGGCATGTGGCTGCCATCGTCGGGAGTCTGCGTCGGGCCCGTGCTGTCCAGTGCCGGGTCGTGAGGGCTTTTATCCTGCCAAACCACGATGGAAACACTATTGTCGCCAATCCACTGGCTCACTGTGTACTCGAGGTGGCAGTCGCGGCAAAAGCCGAACCTAATTGGAAGCTTGCTTTTTTGTACAGAGCCAGGGGGGGTGCAGAGAACAGCCTTCATACGAGACGTGATGCTAGTCGCGTCCAGTAAAGCATCTACAACGTCGTGCTGAAATCCCACATGGGCACAAAGCTTGTTAGGTTTGAGATCCGTAAGAGTTATGACTCGCTGGTTGGCAGGCGTATACATTCAAATGTACTTGATTAGGAGTTTGGTTGTGCTGGTGCCCGATTTTTGTTGCTGAACGACGCGTGGTGTGACTTCTAAAGTAAGCGGTAAGTCGGCCCTGAATATGAAAGGTGGCCCTGCGGAAGAGATGGTGGATGTGGCGCCGCGTCGCAAAGTCGAGCATATCAAAGTGCTGAACGTTCCGCAGGATGATCTGTTTGTGATGGTCTTGGAGACTGTGGTATGTCGCAGCCACTATGCTGGTTGCTTCAACTCCCCAATAGAAATTCGGGTTCTTCCAGTGGCACGAGCTATGATTTTTGGAGGAGGTGGGAAGGTCATTTGGCGAGATGGGATGAGAACAGAGACAGTGTTCGCAAAACCACCGATTCGTGCTGATGTACCAAGCTGGGTCATGCTGCTGGGGTGGCTGGGTGTCCGTACATCCATCGTCAGGCACATGGCCTGCGTCGGATGAGAGACCGGTGGTCTTGGGCTGCTTCATATTGTCCGTGGGTAACAAATATTGACATGTGAGCCTTGTTGGGGTAGCAGTGAGAAAATGTTTTCCACAATGGAAAAGCGGCTGCCATGTTTAAATACCTTTATACCCTGATTTGATACTTCGACGTGGCGTCCGGTAGCGACATCAAGGTTGCGCCCATCTATGCATCAAGTCTACGATCCAGGTGTTTCATGCACAACTTTCGCCATGGGATATTGACGTTGGGCTAAGTGCCTACCATGGCTGAGGACATGAATGATCGTCTCACATTCCATCCAAATGGAGCCGGGCCTGATGCCCCTTGTTGGTGTAGAGACATCCGTTACGACAACAAGAGGGTCGAGTAAATAGTCTGGTCACCAAGTTGGATGCTGGATAGATGTGGAGTGCCCCCGCTGTCACGCCCACAGCACCCCGAGCTGATGGAGCCGGCCGGCTTCAAGGTGGAGGCAGAGGGCAAAGCCCACGATGGAGGCCTTTTGGTTAGCCAACATAAGCCCACCAGCCAGGGCCGAACGACACCCCGAGTTAATAACTCACAGACGTCCGAGCGGTCTAATGGTCGTATGTCTCTCTCTGCCATCCTCCTCGCCGAAATCACCACTAACCAATCACAGTAATGGTTATGACTGCGGATTCTGATTCCGCCAGCCCAGGTTCGATTCCTGGTTGGACCTGCATATTTTTTCTTTTGTGTAACTTCATTTCTAGAAAGACGCCGACCGACTTGTGCTTCCCCTTACTTTTGCTTGGTCACATTCCCTTTGTCAGCATGCATTCCCCCGCAGAGCATCTGCACTCTCTTTGAAGTGTACTTAGTGCTCAAATGCGAGCGACGAGTTTAGTGGGAATTCTCACACAACTACCGCCGATCGTGCTTATTGGTCATTTCGCCCAATGATGATGGTCTTGTGAAGCGTCCCCACGAGGTAGGGTCAAGGTCGCTTACCGAAGTCCTAATCTAGCGACTGGGGCATTCTACGAGTCCACTGATAAACATAGACACAGCGCGATGTGACCTTCACCAAACGTACAGACGGCCAAGGCACCGACCGACAAACCATGAAATCCATCATGTGAGATGCCTGCTGCCGTGTCTTGAGCCCACGCTCCCCAATCTTCCCACGCTGGCTGATTCTCCCCTTGTCGCTGGCCCCTTCTTAAGCGCCGAATGTCTCATGCCGTCGCGTGCTCGGCAAAGCGTAACAAGCCTGTCACACCCAGAATTAGGCACAACGGCACAGCAGAGCCTATGCCGACCGACCCTGGTAAGCCACAGGGCTGTACCGGGCTATGGAGAGAGGGGCTCAGCTCCCTCGCAGTATTTTCTTGAGGGAGCAGGATCCCGGCCTTTAGATGTCCCATTGGCCAACAGCCGATGGATGACCCCTGAGGCTGGCAGGAAATGCAGTGCACCTGTTGACCCTAGAGCAGCACCAAGTGCTGCAACCTGGCACAAGAAGCTTAGGCGAATCTTTGGGCTGAACCGTCGGCAGGGGTAGAATTATCGTGGAAAGTAAGACGGGAAATGAAGAGCCGTATAAGGGTCGTTGGAGCTCATTTTTCTTCGTCGAGCAGCTGTCACCTACCATCTCTGCCTTGTTGTCCCACCTCCACTACCAGTCTCTCGCCTCTTCTAAGGTTCTCTATCAACGAGTTTCGCACGAGTACCATCAGCAAGCGACAGCGGAACCCCTGGACGAAACCACACCTCAGTCACAGCCATCAAAGAATCTCGCGACCATGGGCCAACACAATGTCGGCGATACCTCGCCTTTTCTCAAGCGCATCTTGATCCCCTTCTGGTGCGTTCGCATCTTTGTCATGGCCATCAATGTCGTCGTGTACATCCTCGCCATCAGCCTCGTGGTTCGCTACAAGGACGATATTTCCCACTTCGAGACCGAATTTGGCACAAACCTCTCGCCCAACGCCGTCATTGCCATCTGGGTCGTCATCATGATCATCCTCGCCCTCTGCTTATCGCTCGACCTCGTCGCCATCATCAAGCGCGCGCGAAGAAACTTGTCGCCCAAATTCTTCCTCATCATCAACGTCATTCAGACGTTCGTCTGGACCGTCCTGTTCGCGCTGTCCTTTGTCGGCGCGCGCGCCAATGCCGCGTCCACGGCCATCGCTGTCATCATCTAGTGAGTCGCATACCATGCCTGCTTGCCCTCAACTCCACTTTCTCCCCTGGCCCTTTGCTGACCAGGTGCCCTCCCACAGCCTCTCCTTCGTCGGCCTCCTCATCTACGCCGCCATCATCTTCCACAAGGACCGCAAGGGGACCCTGCAGTACGCCCCCGCCGTGAACCCCGCCACCGGCTACGAGCCCCACGCCCCCCAGCCCAACCTCCACTACCAGCAGAGCGGCGCCTACCAGCCATACGCACCGCAGACGCACGCCCAGGGCGGCGCCCAGTACGCCGGCCAGGCGTACAGCCAGGACTATAACAAGCCGGTGTACGGACAGCACCCCGAGTCGCACGAGCTCAGCCACCAGCCGCGGTACGCGTGAGCGGCACCATCCATGAATGGTGCTGTGCTGATAGAGGGGAGAGAAAGGGGGGCTTTCGCTGAGGACGATATACCTGGGGCGTTGCATTGCGAATGATCTTGATGACTGGCTTTGCTTTTATTCCCCCGCTCCTGTGGTGTACATGGACGGGTAGCGATGATTTGGCTTGCCTATAATGAGAATTTTACTTGTATCATGTTCGTACCTCGGTCCAATCGGTAGTTCGTCTGGCATGGTTTTGGCAGTGATGTGAAGTCGACTCCAACCCAATTGACTTTGGGTGCCAACGAGCCAATCTGACTGCACGTGCTGTCTGGTTTTGTCGAAGGATTGGAGGACGATGGCCAGAACTCACGTCAGCGACCAAGTCCGAAATTTTGTGTTTGGCAAGCTCAAGGTGTTGACCACCCCCAATGACGGCGCAGACTAGTTGTTCTAGTCTCTTCACGCGAGCACAAGACGCGAAGACAGGGTGCGTAAGATGGGTATCTCGAGACCCCTGGTTGAGCGAGTGCTGGAGAGCGCAGTGTCAGCATCGTCGCGTCGCTTACCACAAGTACGGAGACGATCATCACATTGGACTCGACGATATGCATGTCAGACTCCCGTGACTCTTATGAAGGGGTCAGCCTGGGTATATAATCATCGCCTTTCCTAAGGTAGAATTCCGAGTGGTACAAGCTTGGAAGGCCAGCACGGTCGGAATCATCGTGCTTTGACTGAGAGAACATTACGAGCAACAGCCAACATGGCATCTATATTCGAGAAGCGTGGGGACACGACCATCTACCGCGCACCGAACTCGGTGGACATTCCTAGTCTCGACCTTTTGTCGTTTCTCTTCGAGAGTAAGTTCTTTTCGTTCCTGTAAGCTTTCGAAACTTGCTGAAGAGGATACAGATCCCCAGAATGACAGGCTCAAGAGCGACACGATCCTTCACGCCGACGCAGCTGATCCCAGCCGCAACGTGACAACGGCGCAACAGATCAGCCACCTGCAGAGGCTCGCTCACACGATCCGAACAAAGTATGGTATTCGCGACGGTGACGTCGTTCATGTCATCTTGACCGGCCATATTCTGTGCCCATCAATCTTCCTCGGCATCATAGCCGCCGGCGCTACTGTCGCATGCTCACTTCCGACGAGCCCGCCGACAGACATAGCCGGGCAGATTGCCATGACGGAGAGCAAGCTGCTCATCTGCAGCCCTGACCTCAAGGCACTTGCCGGGTCTGTCGGCGCACTCACAAGCCTACCTGAAGAACGAGTCATATACTTTGGGGACAGCGAGGACGTGGAACTCTACGAAGTCAAGTCGGGCACGCAGATCCACGTCTCCTCGGATGAGCACAGCTGGACCCGTGTCACAGACATGGACATCCTTCAAAAGACGACCACCTGCATCGTCTACACCGGCGGCACGACCGGCCCCCCGAAAGCGATTCCCATCTCTCACGCCAATATTGTCGCCTCCGTCTTCCTCTTCATGGAACCCTTCCGGCACGACCCGAAGCTCGAATTCCGCACCGTCGCGCACGTCCCGACAACGCATCTCTCGGGCATCCAGGGCTACATCACGTCGCAGACTTACGTCGGCGGCACCGTCTTCTGGATGACGCGGGTTGACTTGCCGCAGCTTGTGGCCCATTGCAAGCGCTACAGCGCCACGACGCTCCTGAGCCCGCCGCCCATCTGGCTCGCCATCGCCAAGGCACCCTTCGTGACAGACCAGCTCAGCACGATGGTCGTGGGCTTCTCGAGCGCCGCGCCGATGGGCGCCGAGCTCCAAAATGAGGCGCAGCGCAAGCTGGGCAGGGGCCAACTGGGGCAAGCCTGGGGGATGAGCGAGGCTTCAGGACCGATGACGGTACTGCCGCTGGGCGAGAGGGATGAGAGCGGCAGCGTTGCCATGCTCGTCGCCAATAGCGAGATGCGAATCGTCGACGAAGAAGGGAGGGACGTTACGCCTGGTGTGGCGGGCGAAGCGTGGGTGCGAGGTCCCCAAGTTGTGACCGGGTACTTCAAGAACGATCAAGCGACGAGAGAGTCTTTTGTGGATGGGTGGTACCGGACTGGCGACTTGCTGTACTTCAAAGATGGCAAATTTTACTTTGTCGATCGTGCCAAGGTACGTTACGAACGTAAGCTATGTTGGTTGGTTCGATTCGCTGACATGGTGAAGGAAATCATCAAGTACAGGGGGAATAATGTCGTTCCGGCTCAGCTCGAGAGCGTTCTCACGACGCACCCTCAGATCCAAGATGCAGGGGTCATCGGCGTGAAGGTTGACGACGATGAAGTTCCTCGGTAAGATAACTTGTGGGGAGAGACGCGTGGAGGTGATGCTAATATTGTCATAGTGCGTACGTTGTAACAACCGGGCCACAGATCTCGGAGGAGGATATTTCGAGCTGGCTGGAAGACCAGGGAATAGCCGATGAGCAACAGCTCCGTGGCGGAGTTGTCTTCATCAAGGAGGTGCCACGGTCGGCACCAGGGAAAATCCTGCGCCAGGATCTGCGGGCCATGTACGTCGATGCATAGGAGGTGAAGACTTGACTACCGCAGAAGGATCCGATGGGGGCGAGGCCCGACTAACGAGCGGGCGAACAACGGGATTGAAGAAGCAAAATCGGGAGATGAAGCTGTTGGTGATGGTGGAGAGCTTAATGCCAAGATCCTTGCCAGAAGTTGCTCTTTCCAGGCGTGACCTGACAGTGGCTTCGTCTGAGGCCTTGCCACATGTGGCCTAGTAAGGGATGATCTTGAATTGGCTGTGGCGGTGCCCCTCGTGATGACTAACCGAAACACCAAGACCCCAGATCCGCATCGGATTCGCGGAGAGCGACGACGGATGGGCTCCAGGGACACGCAATTCCGCAAGCCCGCCAGCTCCCGCCTGGACACCTTCATTGACTACACTTTGGCCTTCTGATTGATCATCTCGGGGCATATGATACCAACTTGATTGCGACAGTTCTTTTGCTACCTTTGCGTTTGTCCTGTTGTAGCAGCGTCGATGGGCACTTGCTTTGTCATTCCCTTGTAACTTCCAACTGCAGCCAGGGCGAAAGAGGCCTCTCGATACTTCATATCTTCGAACCCTCTCAACCCCCTCCCCCTTCTTCCGACAATCATCGCATTCACCAACCCTAGTCTATCCTTTGAATGGATGTTGATACGCAGGACTCCTGAAGGCCCCTACGCTCGACACTCGACATTTTTATTGCCTTCCCTAGACACAAGACGCCGACGCCAGCCATGCCGAACGATCGCGACCAACGGTACGATGCCGTGCCGCCAATCCCGAGCTACGATGAGGCCATGTCCAACCCCAACCACGCAGACTGGCCACCGCCAGCATCACCGAACCCTGAGACCGAATCACACGGGCTCTTGAGCTCCCATAACAACGCTGCCTCGTCGTCATCACGACGACCCACCGGCTACCGAGAACCGACCGTAGAAACGGATGACGAGGACAGCCTGTTCTACAGCAGCGATGACGGCGACGAAACGGCCTACGTGCGGCGGGAGATGCAGGAGCTCGAGATGGACGACGCCGGCAACGCGAGACCCTCCCTATGGGGCAAGAGAATTCCCTTCTCCTTATCACTACCAAATTGGAAATGGTCCTGGCGACCGCGCTTGCCAAGGTTGCGACGCACCGTCATGCTGCCCCAGCGCCCGGCGACCGACCCCTCGACGACAGCAAACGACGGCGACGCGAGCACAGAGCAGGAGACGGCGCGACCGCGCTTGCGGTGGCCCAACCTCGAGGGCGCCAACGGCAAGCATGCGGCCATTATACTGGTGCGCATCTTTGCGGGCTTCCTCGTCATGTCGTTTGTCTACTTGATCTTCATGAGCGACATCTTCTCGACCATGGCGCGCAGGTTCGGCACGGGCCTGCGCTTCGACCCGGAAGACGTGCGCATGTGGGTGCAGGGCCATGTCGAGAACGCGGCCATGCTCAAGACGGTCAAGCACTACACAAGCTTTGCTCATATTGCCGGCACCGAGGGCGACTATGGCTACGCTATGGACATGGAGACCATGTTCCACAGGGCGGGCATGGACTTTGTGCACATTGACCAGTATGACGTCTACCTTAACTACCCAAAGGCGAACGGCAGGGCGGTGGAGATTCTGGACGAAGCAGGCGAAAAGGCGACGTGGAAGGCAAAAATGGAGGAGAAGGAAGTCGGCGGCGAGATTGCAGGACACCAGACCTTTTCGTTCCATGGCCACTCAAAGGCTGGTGACGTCAAGGGTCCTCTCGTGTACGCTAACTACGGCTCAAGGGAGGACTTTGCGCTGCTGAAGGACAAGGAGATCATCACCGAAGGAGCGATTGCCCTGGTGCGGTACTACGGCTCGCAACCGAATCTGGCCTTGAAGGTGAAGGCTGCCCAGGATGCAGGCTTTGTAGGATGTCTGGTGTACAGCGACCCTGAGGACGACGGGTTCAGGCAAGGAGACGTGGCGCCAGCCGGCCGCTTCATGCCTGAAGATGGCGTTCAGAGGGGATCTGTCAGCTTGACGAACATGGTCATCGGCGACGTCCTGACCCCTGGATGGGGCAGCAAGGAGGGCCTTCCACGGATGAAGGTGGGCCAGACGCCCGGTCTTGTGTGGATCCCAAGTTTGCCACTGGCATGGCGAGACGCACAAGTGCTGCTGCAGCACCTCAAAGGCGTGGGCCAGAAGGTTCCTGAGGAGTGGAAGGGAGGTGTGCCCAATGTTGACGAATGGTGGACTGGCAACGCCTCATCACCGATTGTGCGTCTGAAGAACGAGCAGGACGAGGAAAAGAAGCAGCCGATCTGGAACGTTTACGGCAAGATTGAGGGCATCGAGCAGTCCGAGAAGACGATCATGGTGGGCAACCATCGCGACGCCTGGGCCTTCGGAGCAACAGACCCCCATACCGGTACCGCCATCATGATGGAGGTTGCGCGACTCTTCGGCATCTTGCTGCTCAAGGGCTGGCGCCCACTGCGAACGATCGAGTTCATGTCTTGGGATGGCGAGGCCTACAACATGATCGGCTCGACCGAATTTGTCGAAACTCACGCGGACAAGCTGCGCGAAAATGGTTGCGCCTATATCAACCTCGCCGGAGCTGTTGCTGGCAGCGAGCTCCACGCGTCCGGCTCACCCGTGTTCCAGTCTGTGCTGAACCGAATTCTCGAGCGTATCGAGGATCCCCACCACAACATGACGCTGCGGGAACTCTGGGACAAGCGAGGGGGGAAGATCGAGGAGCCGAGCGTCCGCGGCGACTCTGTGCCGTTCCTGGACATTGCAGGCACCAGCACTCTCGACCTGAGCTTCCGTGGCGACCCACACCCGCAATACTCTAGCTACGACAATTTTGACTGGATGAAGCGCATCGGCGACCCAGGATTCGTGTATCACGGTCTGATGGCCCAGGTCGTCGCTTTCCTTTGCCTCGAACTGGCTGACCGCCCTATTATGCCTTTTGACATGGAGGCCTACGGCGTCAAGCTTGACAAGTGGGCCGAAGAGCTCACCGAATGGTCAAAGGAGAAAATCAAGGCTGCCGGCCAGGAAAAAACCTTCTCCATTGATCCCATCAAGATTGCCATCCACGACGTCAAATCTGCGGCCAAGACATTCTCGCGCTGGGAAAAGACATGGGACAGCGTCGTCATGGGTGGTGGCGGCTGGGAGTCGTCCGGCATGAACACAAAGCGCATCGAGTACAACACGCGCATGGCGGGATTCGAGACGGCACTCCTTGACATTGAACAAGGCGGTGGTGTAAGTCATTTGCGTGCTTTCATTTTTCTCGCCTTTACTGACACAACCCTCTTTCAGATCCCCAACCGCACCCAGTTCAAGCACGTCGTCTTCGGACCCCAGGCCTGGTCCCATACGAAACAGGTCACGTTCCCAGCGATCCGCGACGCCATTGAGGACGCGAACTGGGAGTTGGCGCGCAAGCTCGTCGAAAAGACGTCAGTCCTGATCCGCAACGCCGCGAAGGTACTGCTCGATCAGCAAACCGACGAGGTGCCAGGGCGGTGATCGGGGATGAGGAGGATTACGGGAACGACGCCACGCTGATACATTACACACACTACACACTTACTATTACTGACATACCTGTCGCCTTTCCTTATCTGACGTTGTTTCCTGCCGCTCCGCCTTGAGAGGTGGGCAGGAAGACGTTTTTCCCTGTTGAAGATTTCGCTCCCTTTTTTTACTTTCCCATTTCTCTTTTTTGTTTATATCCGTCTCGGCCCTGGCTCCCTTGGCTGGGCTGTCCGGGTGGCATTGCATGGAGTTATGTCTGGGCGGGAGAACCGATTCGTTATTTGTACGTTGGAGACGGCTGTGAATGTTTCGATAGGTCAGACGTATATACTTCGCATTGGGGCGTGGGCCTGTTCCGTTCATCGTCGTGTTAGCTCTGGCGTGAGTGATTGCCCATGACACTGGGTGAATAGTCAAAGCAACCCTCGTCTCAATGGCACTACGGCCCCATTACACCAAGAAAGCCAATGGACGCGAAATGATGGATTGATAGCATCGCTTAAAACGGGAAAAAGAACCGGTATACATATATACATGGGTAGTCAGGCACGGCATACAAGCCTCAGCAAGCACGGGCAATGCATGCTCCGCATCTTTCCTCAACAAGGGAGGGGGAGAAGATAAAAAAAAAGGTATCAACACGATCGGACGCGACCGGCCTCTCTCCTTCCCTCCTCTCCCTCGTTCCCGAGCCACGGAGGCGACGTCTCCAGTCGCAGCCGCACTATGGCGCCCTAGAGCCTCCAGACTCAGACATCGGCTCATTTCGGGTACAACACGACACCCTCGTACTGCCTACTCCGAATGTTTTCGAGCGTCGAGTAAAAGTGGCGCTTGCTGTTGTCGATCGACGCCGAATCCTGCTGGTTGCCGGCGAGGTTGGAGTGGATGAGCTCAATGAGGCCGTTGAGGTATTTGGTCGTGACCTGGGTTGATCAGCATGGAGTACGTATCACTGGAGGTGGGGAGAGACGTACGGCCTCGTTTTGCTGGTCAAAGTAGTAGACATAGCGGTCAAGAATTTCAACAAAAAGCTCAATAGAGGCGGCCGTCTCCATGCAGGAGTCGGCCACGCGGAGGGCGCGTTGGAGGCACTCGAGCACGCGCTTGCCGTCGCGATAAAGCTGAAATACGTCAGTGTCATGACACGGAGCCACATGAACAACACAAGACTTACATCCGTCTCGTCCGTCTCGCCATTGGCCTGGCTGGGCATGGCCCACCAGAGGTGGCTTGCCAGATAGACGGCACGGCACTGGTCGGGCTTCCTCAACAGCTTGCTGCCGTGCTGCGCACACTTGGTGATGAGAGTGTCGTAGTTCTCCTTGCCAAAGTTCCTGGTCTGGTGAAGCGAGCTGGCAATGATGCAGACGGCCTGGAACTGGGCTTTGGAATCAGAAACGGCCTCCTCGTAGACGGTGAAGGCTTGTGCGAAGAACTCGTAGGACACCTCTTCGAAACCAGCTTGGTCAGCCGTCATGCCAGAGGAGCAGAAGAGGCGCAGGGCGAGCTCTGCCGCTCCCGGGCCGCTGACACGCGTGTAGAGAGTGCTCAGTGCGGAATGCATGAACTTGAACAAGGCATTGCTCTGCGTCTCCCAGTTGTCGTCGAGGTGTTCCCTCGCCTTCAACCTGCGAGCAAGCTTCATACACGCTGTGATAAGAGGAGGAGTTGTGGTACGGATACGCTCGTTGCCCTCGGAGTAGGCCTTCCGTGTCGCCTGGAGGAGCTTGAACTGTGTGTCGTTGCTCTCGGCGTTGATGAGATGCACGAGACGCGCCAGCCAGCCTTGCTCCTCGAGAGTCTCGTCCGTCTCCATAGCACGACGCTGCTGAACGCCGGGGTAATTGGACGGCGGCTGAGAGCCTTCCTTGATGAGGACCTTGAGGATCTCTAAGACGTTATCCAACTGGGACGAGGTTGATATCCTGGTCTGGTTGCGGAGCAGGTTGCGCGCTACCTCGCCAGCAACAGCGCGTCGGGTCTGGTAGGACTGCGCCTGGAAAAGGGGGACATAGGTGGGGAGTGATAGAGCGGTGAAGATGGAGACGTAGCGGTTGATGGGTGCCTGGAGAAGGGCGAGAAGGCTCTGCTGGGCAGGAGGAGAGTGGAGATCAGCGTTGTTGGCGTTGTCGCGCACCTTGCCGAGGGCGTATTCGAGTATCTGGTTGACAAAATCGAGGCGCTCGGGGTAGATATTCAAGGCCAGGTTCGTCAGCGAGTGCAGCAACGCGATTGTGTCGGGGATGGGGAGATGTTGCGCCTCGACCAGGTTCTTCACCTGACTGAAGAACACCTCGTAAAGCTGCACATTGTCGGGAATGCCCTTCTCCGTCGGCGTCTTGGTTGCGTCGGGAGCTTCGGAAGACTCAGCGGCGGTTTCAGAGCCGTTGACGGCCGTTGTATCGGTTTCTGCAACGGACGGCGTCGTCTCGTCGTCGGCGGCATCGCTAGCTTTCGAGGGATCCGCTTCTCCGTTGGCGTCGTCGGCCCCCGAAGATTCGTTGCCATTTGTGTCGGACGGCTTGCTGGTGTCGGCATCCGCATCTGTTGGTGCCGCCGACTCTGGCGCCTCGCTCTGCATCTTCACCTTTTCTAGCAGCTTCGCCAATGCCTCCTCCTCCACCTTTGCCTTGTCATCGTCGCCCTCGGCGGGGCCTTCGCGCTCGGCGTAGTCTGAAAGTCTGTCCATCAAGCCAATGACAATCGCCTTGACATTGACATGGGGGTTGAGGCGCGAGACAGCGCCAAGGAACTGGTCGAGGGTGTGGAGGTGGAACTCGTCGGGGAAGACCTGGGTGACGACCTCGAGGAGGTACTCTTGCGCCAGGACATCGCGGCACTGCACAACCTGCTCGAGCAGCGGCGCCAGGATGCCCGACTTGTACGTCTCGAGGTCGACGAGCTGGCTCAGGCGCACAATGTTGCTGCCGACGAGCAGCTGCAGCTCCTTGCGCTCCCTCGTCCTCTGTTCCCTCTCGCGCGAGTGGCCCTGGTGCTGGAGGCGCACCCACAGCTTGTTCATCTCGACAAAGTTGGTGAGGACAAAGTTGATCGAGTCGGAGAGGTTGCCTTCGGGGCCGTCGCCGTCGCCAGTGGGCAGGAAGTCGCGGGCCTGGCCGGAGAGGAAGTATCGCAGGAAAAGACCGCGGATGGGATGCTGAACCCCGCGGCTCATGTCCATCATGTCCTTCATCAGCTCCTTGACCGGCGCGTCTTCAATCGACATGTAGGCTGTGCCGACGGTCATCATGAGGTAGAGACGAGGCACAATGTTTCCGGCGTATTGGACGAGCTCATACAGGTCGGCCAGGTGGTTGACGGGGTGGTTCTCTCGCAGGTGGACGGACAAGTACCGCAGCGCGTCGAAGACGGCCATGTAGAGCTCGTAATATTGCTTGGGGCCGAGGCTGCTCGTTCGGAGCTCGGAGACGAGGGTAGAGCTGCACGGGAGAAAAGCGAAAGCGTTAGCAAGACGGCACATGGTGTTGTTCCCAAGCCACGAGGGCTCATCTCCCAAGATGCTACGCTCGCGAAGGGCTGGATATGACGTACCAGCACTTGAGTGCGTCCATGAGCTTGCCGGGCGAATCCAGGCATTTCCGCATAACCGCCGTTTGCTGGCGCACAGCAACTAGAGCATCCTCCAGCAGGCGTGCCTGGTCCTCAGGCGGCGCGGGCGTCGCAGACATGGTGAAGTCGGGGGATCGAACCAGTGGGGCAAGTGGCAGGCTGTCGTGTTCAACTCAATCGCATGGGCAGGGTTGTCTCGGAGGCTTTGGTGACAGCAACTGAAATCACCACGAGACTTCGTCAGGGAGGAGATGTCGTCGACAGCGCAACGATATCAATGGGATGGTGGTGACGTGGCGGAGCTCGTGGGAGACGTCGGCGGGCAAGACGGAGCAAGTTGGCTGGCGGGCTACAAGGTGCAGCCAGCAGCAGCAAGCTTGCTTGCCTGGGCAGGCCGTTCGAGGCGGCATAATCGGTGGAGGCTGCCTGTCGTCACGTGGCTGATAAGGCGTGACGATGACAAAGACGACCCGTTTCAATGATGCTCGCTTAGGAGACACAGTTCCTCGAGATGGGTACCTGGTCTATATACATACCTGCTGGATCCTGTTGGTCTTCGGAATGTGTGACATGCCTATGCGCCTTGATTGGTTCTCTGCGGCTTCCCAATTCCGACGGCTCGTGATGCGTTCCGTCCAACTTCCGCTCCATCTCCAACACTGTTTCTCCCATTCCCTGTCGATTGGTATTCCAGATTTGTGGCACAGCCCACTCCGTCATGGCGAATCTGACAAGATCTCATCAAGGCTGCTCGCCTACGCATTGGTCTCTCTATATCTCATGTCTTGAGTTACTTCTTCCTCAATGTTGCCGCCCGACCCCCCCCCCCCCAAGATCCTTTTTCTGAGCAAGACAATCTTACCCAGTCGGGATGTTCTTACATGCAGCACAGGCCCCAGGCTGCCGCCGTGCGGCTGAGTCAGATTGGGGAGGAGGGGGGCCTAGCCGAGCACCCTGAGGGAACCCCTCACAGGGTCTCTCCACCAGCCGTTGTGCTAAAGCGTTGCCGCAACATGTCTACGGAACACCTTCTTGTTCACCCGCGCGTCCAGTGTTCCGTCACCAGCCGCCGCCTTGCCTGTCTCGGCTGGGTCCAGTGATACAGACCGGGATAGTGGGTTGGTGCTAGGATCGTCTTGTCTTGTGTCTGAGGACCCTTGTGACTGGCGGCTGGTTCCTCAGTAGCATGCCAGCATGAAGTGGTTAAGAGAGCTGCATCTCCTCCCCGGGAACTTACTTCACCTTATTTTCCTTTCCGTTGTTTTTCTATTCAACGAACGGGCACATGGTTCCTTTACCAAGTCCCTCCATGAGCTCCTCCCCCCATACGTTCATACGACCATAGAGGGCAGTTCGACACATCCACCATGAACCAGATATCCCCCCTCATGCGGATTCCCGCCGAGCTCCGCGTGCTCATCTACGAGTACCTCCTCGACGACGGCGGCAACACACAGATCGAGATTCGAAACAAGCCACGGCAGGGTTGCGAATGCACAGAACCACACGGTGGCCAGCGACGCTCGCGCTACCGCGTCATCGAGAAGAATTTCCACCAAGACTGCTACGAGACGACCTACGTCCTCGCCTCCAAGGCGGCCCTGCACGTCGGCATCATGGCGACGAACCGGCACATGTACGCCGAGACGTCGTACATGCTCTACGGCCACCACACGTTCAGCTTTGGCAGCGACGTCGAGGCCGTGGCGCCCTTTGTGCGCGACCTCTCGCCGCACGCGCGCAGCCTCGTCGGCGGCGTCGCGCTGCGCAAGAGCAACGCCCTCTTCACGTCCGAGTCGGACCGCCTCGACTGGGCCTTCATGTGCCAGACGCTGCGGGACCTGCTGCCGTCGCTGCGCCGCCTGCGCCTCGCCGTCGAGGGCGGGCGTCCCTCGAAGCCCGGCGCCAGCGGCGGCGGGCTGCTCAGGGCGCTCGAGGCGTCGGACCTGCGCCTGCTGGGCCACATTCAGCACGACAGCGTCCAGTGGATCGCTGCGCTCGCGGGGCTCGCCAAGGGAGCCCGCCTCGAGGTCGTCGAGGTCGTGCCGGAGCTGAAGTACATGCCGGCGCCGCAGACGACGGCCGCCATCTTGTATGCTTCGTTCTCAGCCGCCATTGGCACGGCGTTTGTCGAGCATCTACGTGACGACTGCGGGCTCCCAGCCGTGGCGTGGCCTCAGCCGTAGCGGTCTTGAGCTGTCTCGTCTAGTTTGGCAGGAGGGAATGGGGGTGGGAGAGCAGCGGGCAGTGGCATGATTGGTCTGGTGCTGGTGATGAGAATGGCTGAAGGGCTGGGAGTTTCCCACCAGTGGTCGTGATGTTAACGATATAGCTTGTGTTTGTGCGGCTGATTTCTGGGTATGGGCGTTTCCTCGGCATGTTCCGTTGCATTTTGGGTGGTGGTTAGCATGGCGTTTCCTGATGGACATTGGCTGATGGTCTGGTACGAGGCCTATCTTTTTTTCTGTGATTGGCAAAATCGACGGTTCTTTTTCGTACATTCCGAACTAAGTGCAGTGCAGTGTTGAAGTCTGTCGGAGGTCACACGACATGTTGACGATGATGCCTCAGTCTAGACGCTACCTAGGTAGGTACTCGAGGTGCGGAGGTTAAGGTACCTAGGTACCCAGTAAGTACCTAGTCGACAAAAAAGAATGTCCCACCAAATGAGAGAAGTACCAAATCACCAGTAGATCAGCGCTGATTCATGCCTCGCTGTCGCGTACTAACATGCAATGGGGCATCTCTTCTGTCAAGTGCTTGCCAGGTAGACAAGGCCAAACTACGAGGTCCAGAGCATTCCAGAAGACCAGCCTGGATGCGGTTGCGGAGGCAGCGGAGCTTCTAGCGATGACAGGGCTGAGCTTTCAGGGGTCGCCCCCCTAAAGGCCCACGGGACGGGGAAGCTCTGCCTGCGCTAGGCCCGCCTCGTGCTAGGCGTATTTGGGCTGTCTATTTTTGCCGTCGGAACTCCGCTACACGAGGCGAGTCAGATTCACGAAGAGACCACGCAGGCGAAACGGCTGCCAGGCACCATGATCGAAAGCAGCAGATATAAAATCATTCCACGAGGCTCCTCAAGAGAATCTTGCGGCCTTGAGGGAGTCTGAATTCTCTCACACACGACACGCAAACACGGCAAGCTCACAATGGCCGACCAGGCAGCCACCCGCAGAGGTCGAGGTGCCCTCAAGCAAGGACTGCTCGTCGTGGCCTATCTTCTTGGCATCGTCGCAACCGCCATTCCCGTGCTCCTGATCTTTGCAGGATCGTGGCTTTTCAATGACGAGAAAGACGCATCAGGGCCCATCCGTCTAGCTCTCTCCAAGCTTTCCATCGCATCAGTATATGGACTCCCGCACCAGTCATCAATCTCGTCACCGCTAATCAAGACTCACACCAGTTCGACGGCATCATCCCCGATCCGAATAACAAAGGGACTTACCTCCTGACGATGCACCTCTTCCCCCGCGCCTTGGGCTGGGAGTACCCTTCCGCCCCGTCCCGCGACCAAACCGCTGGCATCGTGAACCCGACGCGAGGCACTCTCTACCTGCCTACCGACTTCGTCACCATCGGCAGGGCCCTCGACCTCGACCCCTCCGCCTGGGGCTGCTTCCCGCCCGTCTGGAACGACCCCTGCGAGAACCCCTTCTTCGCCGCCTTTCGCCGTCAGTTCCCCTACGAAGGCACCCCCGACGCCTGGACCGTCTTCCTGCTGAGCGCCCTCGTGGCCTGCGCCGCCGCCATTGCCGCCATCGAGCTCGCCATCGCCTTCCGCCCGAGCCTACTGCGCTGCCAGTGCTACTTCGTCGCCCTGAAGAGGGTCTGCCCGTGCCCGCGCGGCACGCGCCACGAGATTGAGAGGCTCAACAGCGCCTTCTGGGACCGCTACCGTCTGTGGATGTGGCCCGTCGTGCCTGTCATGACGGCGCTCACGTGTCTGAATCTTGCCGTGCGCGGCTGGATGCTCCTGGCCTGGCTGGACCGGTGGACGGCGCAGGGCGACGACGTGGGTGATGTGCGGCCGCGGTTTGGCGCCGCGTTTGTTGCCCTGTCGTGGACTGCGACGGCGGCCGGGTTAGGTGCCGTGCTGTGCGTGCTCGCGAGGCTGTTGCTTGCGCAGCGCACGAGCTGGATAGACCAGCAAGGCGCTGCCCCTGGTCTGGAGGACGCCGAGGCCGAGGCCCATGGGCAGCGCCATGTCGGGTTGGAAGAACCGGCGGCGAGGACTGGGCTTCCCGACGCACAGCTGAAGGGGTACTCGGATGCCGATCCGGATGCACCTCTCCAGGGTCGTGCCGCTGAGGCTGAACCGTCGAAAGGTCCACCGAGGAATGCGTGAGCGACCTCGACCCAGTCGTGTGCACGATTAAATGGACAATTGGACTGGATCGATCCGTCTCGGCCACGCTTCGCAGACTGGAGTGATTGTTCCGTGTTGTACCAAGGGGTGTCACTCGCTCAATGTGCCTGACATCATGATGACTTGAACTAGCGGTCATCGATTTCATCGACCGGAGCTCGCTCCAGATGGCAGTCAATGATGCCATCATTCGTCGCCAAGCATTCAATGGCTTGACAAAACAACCAGGGCCGCAGCTTTCTTTTTGAAGGCTTTCACAAATCGGCCTCGTACCTCACCTTCCACTACTCATCCCCTCAATTGACTGTCAGCTCAACTGATTATCCGAGCGGCTACGAAACACATCACGCCAGCAGCGCGAATACCTGCGCCTCTACATTACTCCAACCAGCACATCTCAGAAATATGTCTGGTGGCTCAAAATACACAGTTCCTGCCGTAGTGGGCGCAACCCTCCTCGGCAGCGGCGTCTACATGATGCGCGGCCGACCGTCGGCCACAGAAGCCCCAGCCCAAAACACGGCGACCTCGGCGCCGCGCCCGGATGCCGACGAAGTCGAGCGCAAGAAGCAGCAGGCCCAGTCCAAGCGTGACAAGGGCATCAGCGGCGCCGGTGTCGGCATGACCTCCAACACGGGCGGCGCCGAGCTCTCCACCGGTAGCAAGGCCGGCAATCGAACGGGTCCCCAGCACGGCGGCCAGAAGATCAGCGGCGACGTCGACAGGAAGGATCTGCCGTCGGGCGGTGTTGGCGGCGGGCACGGCGGCGGCAACGACAATACGAGGACGTCGGTCGAGATTGGCAAGGGTGGTACTCCGGGCAGCAAGAGCTTCTTCTCGGGATGGTTTGGCGGTGGCGGCGGATCGAGCGACACGTCATCTGGCGGTAGCTCGGGAGGATCGTCGAGCGGTGCCTCTGGGTCAGGCCAGAGCAGCTCAGGCAAGGGTGCCGGGCAGAACAGCAGCGGATCCGGGACTAGCTTGTCGCAGAAGCTGCAGGGCGCAGCTGGCACAGGCGGCTCGACGGCCGGTGGGCAGCAATATGATGTTGACCCCAAGGATACCCGGATCAAGAGTCACCACGCCGACACACCGTCGAATCGTGGCGGCAGCCCTTTCGACAAGCACCGTAGGGACGTGACGGCCGTTTCGGAGACGAGCTCGAAGCCCGGCAAGGAGTAGTTTGCCTTAGGGACAGTCTTGTCACCCATGTATTTCTCCCAATATACTTGTACGGCAATACGCATAGCATCAATTTGGCCTTGTTGTGATTCTGATCTTCATGACGTACTCGCTTGTGACTCTTGCACTGACTTCAAGGCCGAACTTATGCGGCGTCCAGCATCCAAGCAGCAGTCCAGGGAAAGTTGCTCGCGTTCATTCTTCATTGTTTTCTATCGTTTGCTTACTGTCGTCGCTCACCCTCTCCTGCTCAACCTTAGCCTGCGCCTCGTAGTCCTTCCACCGATACTCCTTCTCGATACCCAGTCTCCGTTGCGCCGTGTCGCACAGCTTCTCGTTTCCACACTCACAAACAGCCCCATGCCGCAACCACCGGTACGTAAGACTCCAACGTCCCTCCCTCGGCCTGGCTCCGCCGTCCGGCAGCGGATCCGTCTTCCGTGACCGAATGCCATGCGTCCAGTGCAGCCGCGCATCGCCGCGCATCTCCATCATGCTCCGCGGCAGCAGGTCGACGTCCGTCCTCTCCCCCGTCGCCCCGTCTCGGAACTGCATCGACACGGGCGCCCCCAGCGAGAGCGCGTACAGCTGGTCAAAGGCGCTGTGCGTGTCGACGTGCGGCGGGATGCCCGTGCCGGGCGCGTAGTACTGCAGGCACACCTGGTCCGGCGCGCGGGCCTCCGTGCGCGGCAGCAGCGGCGGCAGCCAGTCGGGGAACGGGATGTAGGCCGTCGCCTCGTCGATGCCGAACGTCTTGTAGGAAAATGTGTGCCCGTAGTGCAGGGCGAGGCGGCCCTTGCGGTCGGGCCACGTGAGCTGCGTCTGGAAGATGGAGAGCAGCGCGGCTTCGTGCTCGGGTGTGATGAAGTTTTGCTGCATGAATATGCCGGAGGGCTGTATGGGGAGTTCCTCCATCGCGGCTCGCCGGCTCGACTGATACTGATCTGGGGAGGACGTTTTGTGACCCCTGCTCTTCAACGTGGATGTTGCGAGACGCTCATTGCAAAAGTTGGTGCAATGTGTGGAGACTGGGAATGGAGTCAAAATCGAACAATGGAGAGAATTATCTTGACGGTTGAAGCGATCACGTGACAGCGCATACTATCAGAAATCGGTGGCCTGTCCGATGAAGAATGTCCTAAGTTATTCCTGTTGATGAATATGTAATGAAAAGCATTCATCCCCTCGTACGTAGTTTTTCAATGGTCGACCTGAGGTTTCATGGTGCTGTTGCACCCCTCCGTAATCGCACCTCAAGCCCGGCCCAGGAGTACTTCGGCACTCACAAAAGTGAGATGCCTTGCTTATTCAAAATTGGAGATCCCAAAAGAAATAAAAAAAAGAATTCACGAACATAGCATTTGACCGCCAACTGGACCCTGCGACATGGTCAAATCCAGACAACGAGGCAGGACTCGCTGATGAATCGTCTTAACACTGTTGCGCTTTCGGGATCCATGAACATGGACAGAGGGGGACATCAATCTAACTCTACAGATGGGCAGACGACGGAGGATTCCTTTCCTCAAACCACTGAACCTGTCGTCTGGGCCAGTCAATAATATCCTCCATCTCCTGATTGCCGGCAACCTGCTGGTCGATCAATTCGAACAAGTCATGCGACCACCCCTTCATAAACCAGAACCTCGGCTCCATCATCTTCCAAAACACGGAGAAATACGCAAGAAGGGCCAAGGCGTTCGGGTCGAAACTTTGTATATCCCCAAGGACCGTCTCGGGGACAACGTAGGCAAACATGATGAGCATACCGAATTCGGGGTCGGGACCAGCATTCTTCACGAAAACCACAAGCCTCTGGAGAGCCTGCATGGCCAAAGTGTACGCCCCTCGGGATTCCGGCAGAACATGCTGCTCCAGGAACTCGGACAGCTTGTCCAGCGCCCGAAAGACGTCTTCTGGGACCAGGGACCCTTCCGCCGGCTCTTCCCTATCGCCGAGCTGTCAGCGCACTTCCCTGGTTCATCGCGCCACCCGGTGTTCTAACTCACCATATGACCTCGCTCTCATCGTCGGGTCTCCATATGCTATGAAAAAGAGGGGCAAGATATGAATTTTTCAGAGTCGACTGGTAGCGCTCGAGAACGACTCGATGGCCGCGCACGAAGGCGAACACTTCGAAGATGTTGACGGCTTCTGACGACCCGGCCATCAGCCCCGCGACGGTATGCGAAGGTCGGAAGCACACATAGATCAGGACACAAGACGAGAAGCACATGAGCGGCTTCCAGTTCCCGGCATTGATGTTCGCGATGCCAGCCATGAACGTCGCCATGCCGAGACCCTGGTGGTAGGCCGCGAGGTCGAGGTACTGTTCCCGCCGCTCCGAAGACCCACTCGACAGGGCTGCCTTGTGAAGCGCGGCCAAGGACAACAGGCCGTGCATGACGAAGGGGTGGTCGTATCCGATCTGCGGGAACCGGCAGCGCCAGATGTGGCGCACATCCAAGCGAAAGCTCAGCGTGTGGGCCGTGCTGATGGTGAAGTGGTGCATGAGCTCCAGGCCCGAAAGCGCCCACATGTCGTCGCTCGACGCCGGCAGCGGCGTCGGCATGAAGAGCGGCGTCGAAGGAGGGTCGTGGAGACTCTCCGGCGTGCAGTACTCCGGGTCGGGAAGCGAATGGTTCAGCCTCGGGTCCACCGGCAACGCGAGCTCGGGGGTCGTCCAGGTCTTGTCGTCGACGAAAGAGCAGCGCACGCCATGGCGATGACAATTCCTACAGAAGGGCCGAGATTCATCGCACTGCAAAAGCCATCAGATGTGGCAGCGGCACGATGGAAGCTGGACAAGTGTTACCTTGACTTTTCTTCTTTTGCAATGGGCGCAGCCGAAGCGAGACTTGGTATGAGGTCGACGCAATGGCATGGTTCGGGTTCGGACGTCAAATACGAGAGGTCGGGTTCGGAGTTGAATCTGAATCACTGGGATCGCAAAACGAATCTTGAGAGAGATGGATAAGTAGGCGGAAATCGCCAGAAGAGTCTGCAGAGCACGACACCTTCCGACCTTCCGACAAAACTCTTCTTATCCTCATTCACACCGAGAACGTCCGCCGCTGCTGGCTAATGCGACTCGCGGCTTTGAGGCGGAGGCCGATCGTACCTGGTAAACGAGGTGCGAATCCGAACCCGCGCGTACCAAAGACGGCATTGGTGTTGGTGCTGAGCGTGTCGATCGACTCGGTGGAGCTTTGCGTCAGTCGTATTATTCGGGTTCTCGTGTGTATACGAGCCAGTGAACCCTTTCCGGGCAGTGCCGCGGTCCCGATAGAGAAGATGAATAAAAATCGAAACACACCCCGCAAACCTGTCAATGCCGTTCCTTTTCTACATCTATGCAGGGCTTCGAGATTCTTCTAGCATTCGAATTCTACGAGCGGTGGAGCCAGGCTCAGAAATGGAAGCTAAACACGTTTGGTCTACTGAAGGTCCGTCATCAACAATAACCCTTCCATGGGTCCCAGTTGTTGGGGTCATAGCGGGTACGGTAAGTCAACTGATGCTTCAGCTGCCATTGGCGAGGGACTCATACCCCGCATAGGTTCTTCTTTATGTTATTTTCACCGGAGTTTATAACATCTGGTTTCATCCGCTCCGGGCATACCCTGGCCCCTGGTGGCTCGTCGCCAATCGACTGCCGTACACCTTGTCCGTCTTGCGGGGCACCGCAACTCGGCGGGCAAAGGCTCTGCATGAGCAGTACGGCCATGTTGTCCGTATCAATCCCGACACCCTGTCGTTCACTTCTGGAGATGCATGGCGTGGTGCGTGGCGTCCCTCCTACGCTTGAGACCCTAACCCAATCGACGTAGTCGTTAACCCAGCTCGTTAGATATCTACGGCTCTCAGTCGAGATGCAACCCGGGCATACCGAAAGATCCCTACTTTTACATGCAACATCCAGGCCCAGCCAACATTGTTCGTTGATCCTTCTTACATACCAGTTTCTTCCTAACCTTCTGACAGTCAACCCTCAACGACGACGACCATCATCGTCTCCGGCGTGTCCAGCTCAACGCCTTCTCTCCGAAGGCGTTGGCGTCTCATGAGGTGCACGTCCGGCATCATGCTTTAGACTTGGTCTCTCAGCTCAGGTCCAGCGCTGATGCGAAGACAGTCGTCGACATCTTTCTGCGACTTGAGCTTCTCGTAACAGACATCATCAGCAAACTTGTACTAGGCGAGTCGTTTTTCCTGCTCGAGAAGAACGACCCTCAGCCTGGGCATTTTGGTGTCTTCTCGGTCCTGAAGAATCACACGTACGCCCGCGAAATGATGCACTGGCCTAGTATTTTCAGACAGGCCGTTGTCAGATTCATGACCAAGAAACCAGCGACACCAAATCATACAATGTGGATGACTGGGAAAGCGACACAGAAGCGGTTCCAACGCGCCGGTGACGAGTATGATTACATCTCGTGCATGCAAAGGGGCAGCTCCAAGCTAAGGTTCGTTGTGGCCATCGGATTGCGAATACCCTCTTCTCCGGTGTGCACTCACTGATCGATCGCCAGAATGTCGGAGGACGAAATAAGAGGTTCGACCACAGCATTCATCATTGCTGGCAGCGAAACAAGTATGAAAATGCCCCGACTCCTCTGAATTTCTCATTAGTCGCATGGAGTCGTTCCCTGACTCGTGACTGCAGCTGCGACGGCCATAGCTGCAACCATGTACCTGCTATGCAAGAACCCACGGGTATACAGCGCCCTCACCCACTCGATACGCTCTGACTTTCCTCTGGAATCAGACATGACCATGGCCAGACTTGCCCAGCATGAGCAGCTGAACAATGTCCTGCAAGAGGCGCTCCGCTTGTATCCCCCAGCGCCGGACAATCTCTTCCGACGAACCGCCGACAACGCCAGTCTGGTGATGGGAGAGATTTTGCCACCAGACACGAGCGTCACGATGAACGTATGGGCTGCCCATACATCTGCTCTCAATTTCCATCGCCCGGATGAAATGCTGCCCAACAGATGGTCAAGTCCGCGCCCAAAGGAGTTCGAAGGTGATGATAGGGGGGTTTTCAACCCTTTTGGAGTTGGCCCCAAAGACTGTTTGGGCAAAGGGTGAGTGAGGTTGATGGCCCGCCGATTGGCGCGACCAAGAATAGCGACGTTGACACTACTGCAGACTGGCGTGGATGGAAATGCGCATCGTAGTGGCATACCTTGTGTGGCACTTTCAATTTGAACTCACGCCCGAAAGCGAAGCTTGGATGGATGGTCAGAAGGTCTTCATGTTCTGGGAAAAGCCACCACTGAGGGTCAAAGTGATGACGAGGTAGGAAGAGGAGGACGTAGCTATACACACCAAGAGGGAGAGAAGCTAGGCACTCAGTCCAAACAAGCTTCATTCCACGAGTCATTTGAGCACTGCATCTTCAGCTCTATGCAGTGTTGGGGCCAGCATGCTTCGCTTGACCGTGACTGTGGCCTACCAGTCCACGAAATAAGCCTCGTTGTCCATATCAAGTGTCGGAGCCATGTACCCCGCCGTGGTTTCATGCAAGGGGGTGGCTTGGCGATTCAGAGTCTTCATTGGTGGCAATTGGGAATAATGTCCTTCTCAACGACACCACAAGACATCGTCTAGCGAATGGCAAATCCCCGGTATTGCCACGCGGGGTACTGTAGTGTTGAAACATGGGGTGCGGCCTGCAATAACCAGTCTAGATGAAAAGCTGTGCCCGCCACATGGAGTTCTCGCGGGGTTATTGCCTGTGGCTGTGATTAAAGGACCATCTTCAGACCATAATTTGACGTTGCCGCCAACAGGCCGATCGATCTGCATGGTCGTCTGCATATGTAGTGCTACCTTCCTCCGGGAGCCTCAATACATGGGTTATTTTCCACAAATCGGATCGTGACATATGAAGCACCTTAACCCTGATA